GTGATGATGTTGAATTCATATGAAAACCACTTTGACTGCCAATGTGCCACCCACATGGTAGATGACTGACATTCAATATCAATGACTAGTCACTCCTTCCTCACTTCCTTTTCGGTCTAGGTTTTCTGGCAGCGTTAGGCTAGTGAATACACCATCACTTTACCGCATCCACTCCACTTCACTCTGCTCACTACTCAGGCCGCACTTCCAGGACAAAAACTACACTTCGCCTCCAGAAGGCTACGCTATGCGTCTCTCATAAGTCATCGCCTTCTCTTAGAAATCGGAATCATTCTCAAGGTGGGATGGACAGTTGAGGGACGGAAGTGAGATGGAACTGGGGAGCAAGTAGAACTGAAATTAATTATTCCACTTCTGGCGACAAATTATTACGCAAGAGTAGAAATGGCGTTCAGCTTGTATCGCCACCTACTTCAACGAACAGTAGATGCAAAATCGCGAATTATTTCACGTCTCATGAGTCTACTCCACCACCTAAATCTAGGTGACTGAAGAGCCCGACCACTTCATGGCTAGGATAATATATTCTGTGACAAGTTGCTACACTTTTCACTTTCTTAATCCACTTGGAGCATCTTGTCACGCCTGTCACAGTGCTCCCACTAGAGTTTCCACAAATTGTGCTTTACAAGCAAACGCACCTTGCTCTCTCACTTGTGCTCCAAAGAAACGCAATAAATTAACTCATGAAGGCCACTGGAGCTACCTCTTATTATTCCCCTATGATAAATTAGCAAATTTATGTGAATATCTTTTCCTTCAGAAAAGAATTTTCTTGACCCACACAACCAATATACGAATGTAACGGGTGACTGTAAACCCCCCTGCGTAGATTCACATTAGGGTGCCACAGTTCTCACTTTGACTTTGTAGCAAGAAGTCGAGAGTGAAGAGCGGAAAACTAATGAAAGAGGGATTGCATCTGTGTAGCATTTGATGCTGCTTCTTCCATTTCTCCATAGGACCAGACAGGCATTGGTGCGGTTTTCTGTGTATTAGGCCGCAATAAACAGATATTAAGAGACATAGTTGCATGACTGTTTGTCAATAAGGGACTCTCTGTCACTGATATCTACTCAAATTTAAACAAAATTGACAAAATAATTTCAACATTCTTAGCTACTTGAAATCTTCTTATAAGTAGTATTGCGGTACAGGTTTATTTGAACAGGACTTTTGGATGGTGAAGCAACAGATTTGACCAACTCGTGATTGAAAAGGCCCCATCTATCTCTGAGGCAGTTATAAACCCTGGTTTTCCCCAAAAACGTTGACCGTTTGTAAAACCTTACATCGGCGTCACGGAAGGTGTCCCACAGCCACCAATCTTTGCAACCTAAGGCTTCAAAAGTGGAGGTAGAGTGGAAAGACGAGGAAAAAATCACATTAACTTTGAAGTGTGGAAAGTGAATGAGTCACTGAAGGATAACCGTATGCAAGTTTCCTTGCCAAATTCTGAAATGCAAAAACCATTCTCTAAGCATAAGTCATTCAGTGAACGGTTTCCTCCAAACGACGCTTTTTTATTTTGCAAAAAGAAATGGAATCCATTCGCTCTGCTTCTACAACATGCATAGCTTGTGTTATAGGCGGAAACAACCTGTCTCCTTATTTACCTTATGCGTTGCCGAAAGCTTCTCTTGGCTCTTAATTTCCCACTCCCTTTTGTTAGGAAAGAGGATCTTTGTAGACTTGGTGCATCCGTTAGTCCTTGAGCAAATCATTGACATCTGGACGGTACAATGGGCTACTGTACACCGTGCCTTCATTGGCCGTATACAATAAGTTTTACTAGTGACCTCATCCCTCTTGGAGGAGTGATAAACATTATAATGCGGAGAGTCTCAAACAACCCCCCTTGTTAGACCGACATTTCACGATATGAGAGTTGAAGGTAAGATGAATAGGAAGAAGACAGAACCGACAGGCTTTGACGCCAAACACAGAAAATCGGGACCATTTGACAAGTCTCTCCGCGTGAATGGAGATAACTGCAGCTCATTGACACGCTTAACCTGGTAAAAAAGTTTACCGTCACCTTGTGCTTTAAAACATGGTGACATTTGGTCGTTTTGGTCGGCTGAGACACCTCTGGGCTCAGAATAGGTCTTCATTATTAGCAGAGTGTCGACACTTGAACTGCATCAACGATGTAAAGACTCCCCAATACTGTAGGCAGCCATTCCTAAATTGGGCAGGAACTAACTTCTAGAAAAAGAGAGCTCAAATTATCTCCAAGTAAACAAAATCTAAAACTCTTCCTTGTTTTGACTAAAAAATAGCGCTATCCTCACGTGATTTTTTTCTTGTAAATAAGGGAGGAAATTACCCGCAAGACCCCGTTACTAGTCACGCGTCCGTTGACATGAGAGTGTTTCTTCTGGCCGCGGTTGCAATAACGAGCTGACTTTTTTGCATTAAATTGCACCAAATTTTCGTGTCACTTCAACAGAGCTTATTGTTCGGCCGCAGAATGCATGCAAATGCGCAACTTTTTGAGCAACCAGCATAGTGTCTGCGCCTAGATTTTTTACGATCGTGCCAACAACTTTTTCCTTGCTTCTTTCAAAGACGTAAATATTTTCATCGTGTGGGAAAAATATTCTTCACTCCTAGAAGGAATTCCCTCCAGGTCTTCAATGTTGCTTTAACTGCAATATTTTCGATGTTCATCTAGCTCCAAACTCCCCGGTTTGGGACTAGTGGATTAAGAAGAAAGACCCTTAGAGGCAGAGGTTCCAAAATTTGCCAAACTTTTAGGAGGAGGGGATTAGTGTTTGTCTCCTCTTCCTTAAAAATCGGTGAGATCTGGTAAGTCCCGGCATTGTCGTCATCTGAATGGCTTACTAGGCGCTTGTACCAACGCGCCCTAACAATCTTCATGGTCTCGGATACTATTTTGGTAATAAAGGGTTCCAGCTTATCAGCCTTTTCATGCATACTTTACTAGACCTCTATCCTGAATGCAGCTCTGGAATACCGTAGTTAGAGAGGACTCAAGCCGCATGCTACTTACAATTTTGATTGAAATGGAGGCGAAGGAAGAGAAGGTGATTAGGGAATTCTTTGTGTATTGTTGCAAGATAAATAAATTAAATGCAGAACGCCTCTGCAATGCATTCTTCTCTCCCAAAGGGAAATGAGCAGGAGCGAAATCCTCATGTTACACAACTTTTTATCGCCATAAGGAAGAAAAAGTTTTCCTCGACACTGTCCATCCCACCTCACACTCGTTTCCCACTTGGCAGATGTCAAGTATAGGAAATTGTTACCATGTGTGGGGAAATTAAATACTGGTAGAGGATGAGGTTGAGGCAAACTATCGCAGCACCTTTTTCCAATGCTATATGAGACGCATATCTTTTTCCAGGCATGAAGTCTTGTGAGGGAACTCAAACACCTCTATCTACTACTTAACTAGTCTCGACGCCTCATGGGGAGTGAGTTTCTTTTGCACATGGTCGGGTTTTAACCAGCTGTATCCTGTCTAGTAGATGGATCTTAACCCGTAGCCTTGGCCCTTATATAAAAGAAGATATCACCAAAAAAGTGGGTTTGCAGTCTTCTGGGTATGAGGTGGTGCATTTTTGAGTGAATTACTACTAATACCTCGAGTCGCTCAGCATGTGATTCTCTCCTTAAGGCGCATTTTTGCTGTATGAAAGAATAAAAATACAGAGATGTTCATTCAAGCACATTGTCGTCCCATTTGCTTAGTTCCTTCCACGACTTCTCCAGCCTATGTGGGTGTCAACATTGATTCATGATCCATTGACGAAGCGGTAATTTTGAAGTATTCGAACCAGTAGCTGTTGGTAATCCTTCAGCAGAGTCTAGGACAGAGGAACTTTTTCGAAGTATCACATCAACGTCTGCCGAGTTACTACCAGAAACAAATAGTCAGGACCATTTCTCCGTGATTTATTCTGCTGCTACAGGGTCTAAGTGATCTGCAACATATTCTACAATACATGCTACAGCGAGCTCTTACAGCTTCGGAAACGAAGTTAAACTCGCTACGCAAAGCAGGCCAGCTTGAATTACTCCAATTGGCTTTAATTAACCAACATTTCACATGATATGAGAGCTGGAAAGAGGAGAAAAGCAGGCGAGGGAACTAGGCTGGTAAGGTTGACATCTATTTGGGGACTAATGCATCAGTTAATCGGTCTTCAGAAGTTGCAGCAACTCATGGTGGTGAGTCTCATTGAAGATGGCACAAAATTTTAGGTCATTTAATGACCGTTCAAACAAATGAAACCAGCAGTTTTATCTATCTCACCAAAAGGTACGGTAGCCGGTGTATTTTGGTGTTCCACCATTTATTAAATATGTCTCTTGGAGAACTGAACCTCAAGATTTTATTACTTTTTTCTCAAATTGTAGGTCTGATGTGAGTGCAATACCACCACGGTCTTCCATCAAAAAGTGTGGATGGGTAATGCTCTAACATTTTCTTTAGCTCTGTGTTTATTTTCTCTGAAGATGAAGTGTGCGCAATTTGTTCCTCCCCTCGATGGCGTGCCTTCAGGACCACGCCGATGACCTCAACTCTTCTGTACGTCAGTAACGTATCTTCCACCACACTACCAAGAGCTGCCTGTGGTTTCAGGTAAGACCCGGGAACAACACTATTGGAAAAGGCAAGCGTAGTCGATGCCGATTCTATTGCCAAATGATGAATCTGATTAGACAGTTAGCAAATACTCCTAGAAATATGTTTGAAAAATACCTCAGTCCTATTTCCTAGAGGTTTAATATTACCAAATCAAGCAACACTAGTTGTGGTCGTGAACCAGCTGGAAATGTTCGTTACGGAGTTGTCCATGGAAGCTGCATAAAGATAGCAATAGTTAACACACAAACCCAGATGGATGTGTAGTTAAATAGCAGTGAAGTGTAAATAAATTTGTATGAAGGCCTGGACACGAAATCTCACTCCCATAAAAATATCTTAAACTCTGTCCTTACGCCTAGCAATGGACATGCGTGATAGCCTGCACTTTGCTCCTTCTTCAATATGGTTCCTAAGCAGGTGGGAACTCCAGATCCAATGGGATCGCCAACAGAGGTCAATAACCATGTGGTCAAAGATCTCTGTTGTGCGCGAATTTGATGACTGGCGCTGGTGGTTCGTGGACGGTTCGCATTACAACACCGACTGCGTTGCAATGGCCGATCTGAAGGTTGATCGAGGGAAGCGACGGCAAAGACGCTTAAAGTAAGAGATGGGCAATGTAGTACTTTGATGGTTTATTTAACTCTGCGTTCAATTATGAGGATGTGTAAATTCCCGCCAAGGAGGCTACACCGTAGAGCCGTGCCAGCAGCCTCAGCTCTTCTATACGTCAGTAATTTTTCTTCTCCCGTGCCACTATGACTTCTCACGGCTTCAGGAAAGACTCAGAATGCTGCAGGTGTATTACATTTACTACCTTTTCAGCAGCCAGGGAAGAAGAATTTTATGCATCTTTGACGCCAATTTTAAGCAGGAAGCCCTTCATTCCGAGGTATCCTTACTGATGTCTTAGTCACTAGTGCGCTTCTGTACGAATGCATTCTTCCAGCGGTAAGCGGTCAGATAACAACGACCTCGTGGCTGGGCAGATTATATCAGTTTTCAAAAGGAAGACAAACTACTTTCCCTTCCTGCAAAACTTAATTTGAGGAACCTCCAAGCTATATAATATGAGGTGTCTCTCTCTAGCACCGGAGGTAGGAGAGAAGAAGAATAGCGAAAGCGTTACAGTACACTACTGAAATGCTAACCCATTGTTGACATTCGTGAAATAGGTGCCGCTAATTTCCAACTCACCTGTAGAACCCTAAATTTGAACGATTCCAGCCTGCTTTTACGAAGCATCCACGACTGATCCGCGTCGCTTGAAAGTGGAAAATCTACTTTAATGAAGCTTGCCAAAACTCCTCCCTTTCAAGAGCATCTACAAGAAAAGAAACAGCTAGATCCAGGAAAGCATTACCGACCTAAGTAAACAATAAGTTGTTTTTCAAAATTTATTTATATATGGTTAATGTCTGCCGAGAGATAAGGTAAAGTTTAGTCAAGGAATATTTTTTTACTAAATGACTGGGAAAAGACTTATTTCCAAATGCTCAAGGTGGATTTCTTGTGTTGTCATAAAATAAGGAAATCCAACTTTCAACTGGAAAACTTCCCCTTCGGTAACTAGTCAAAAAAGAAGAACTTGAAGACCCTAAAATATGTGGAAATACATCAAGTTCTTCCAGCATGTGAAGGGGATCGTCAGATTTGCATGAACTCTTTATGTCAACCCTCTTGGCAGTCTCTGTCCAGACGCCAGAGACAGTCACTCAACTCTGGATCGAGACAGGTCGTGTGCTCCGATGCGCCGCCTCTGCTCACTCTCAATAACAGTCTACAATGCTCCGGAGTGAATGACTACTCCTTGAATTTCCTCATCTTGATGGGGTTCCCTTGAAGGAGGTAATTAATGAGCCAACACCACCCAAATTCCTCTAATGTTCGTTTATAAAAACATCAGGATCAGGCTGGGTGAAAGATGGGGAAGATAGACATGGAGGCGAATTTAACATCGTTTAAATGATAAACTTGGAATATGGCCTGATCTTTTATTACTCACCGCATGTATTCATGGATGGCTGTTGACTCCAAGAATTATCAATTTGTACCCCACTTCTTCAACCAACGTCACAAAACTAGGGGTTGGGAGAAAGGAATGATTCTGCACTGACTTCAAATGGGAAATGACTTTTGCACTCAAAAGTAGTACAAGAGGCCTTATCTTAGACCACACCTAAAAGATGGCTTGGCTACCCACCGCATACATCAGCACAACTTGATAGTGTGGAAGAATAATTTCTCCTTCCTTAGAAACAGTCCGGATCAGTTAATACCCCGCAGTTTAGTCGTGAGAAGAATTTACCTTTTAGTTGTCTAGTGCAAATTTTTAGGTATAACACATGTCTGCTAACCTCATTAAGAAAGGACAAAGCCATAAAATGGAATACTCAAACTCTGTGAAATCGCCTTCACTAGAATGCGCTTTAGGGGAGGTCAAGGACACTTACAGAAAGCACTTTCTACCGAGACAAGAAGAAAAAACAAACGATATCTCTGAAACTTTGAAGGCGTACCGATTTAGCCAAAAAGCCTTGGCCCAGTGAAGGAGATTGTAATGAAGTAAATGCATTAAGGGCTTCTGCAGTTGTGGTACTGTTGTATTACCATTCTTTATTGCCCCCTGTTTTCTTTTCTCTTGACCAAATAGATCCTGTCTCTGCTCTACGTGAGAAGGTATTAAGATATCCTCTAAATGGTTTTATTTTTCACTTTTCATACTAACCGCCGAGGAATAAGAGAAAGCTGTGGTATCTTACTTTTTTAAAATTAAAAGTTGATGGTTTTAGCTTGAGACCTTGTCTATTATTCTCGACATGAAGTTCAATGCTAATTGGTTACCACATTGCGACCACTCACACACACCCAAGATTATGCCAACTGACACTGGCGATGCCTTCATTTGGGGCAGTGGCAAGCAATTCTTCGCCACTTTCCGGAGAAGCTATACTTTCTCAACTTAATGGACCGTTGTCTGTTGATTAACAACCAGAATCGCACTGCCTCCTGGGGCATCTCTTGGTGATATGTTCTGCTACCGTGCACTGCCTTCTCTCAACACGCTCAGCATCAAATCTGACGAGAAGCTTCCACATTTCTGGAACAGAGTTCAGTTTGCTTTGTAAAGTATTTTATCAAAAACCACATCTATCAATTTCATCCAACCGACGTTTAATGAGGTGAGAGGTGGGATAAGGAGCACAGTAGCATACCGAGTCGGCGGACAGCCGTAGACCTATGCTTCCCAATGCTTGTTTGCTGCGGTGGGCCACACTACAATCCACACCAACACTCCTAAGTCACCTAAAGTGTTTGACTCTCTCAAGAAACAGAAGAAACAGCACTAAATGTAAAACCGTGCTACGGTAACCCCCCACTCTTCACTTTCGCGACTTCTGGCTACAACGTCAAAGTGAGAGTTGTGACAAACTAATGTAGGTGGATTTATGGAGGAGGGTTTGCAGTCACCTGTTACATTTGTGTGTCAGTCGAGGTCGGCAAGAGTATTCATTTTAAAAGGAAACACATTTACTTAAAATCGCTAATTTGCCACAGAGGAACAATACAAAGTTGTTCCAGAGGGCTTCATCAATTTGTTTGTTGCACTTTATCGGAAAACACGTGGAGGGAGTTGCGTTTGCTTGCAAAGTGGAGACTTTGAGGGCTGTAATGTGAACACTGTGATGGTTTTAGCAAGAATTTGATGTTGTTTAAGATGGTCTAGTTAGATTAATGAAAACGAGAAGTTGAGCGAATTGTTACCAAGTATACTGTTGTGTCTAAGAATTTGGGAGGAGGGAGGTTGGTGCTATTCAAGAGGAAGTACACCGTTGATGAGAGCGATGTGAGTGCAAATGGTATGGGACCTTAGTCGCCTCAGATCAGGCGATAAAGTAGACTAGTGAGGTGTATGACACTCCAGAATGTTGTTTCACCAACAGTAGTCACGGTAGTTGGCCACTACAGTGCCAGAGACGAAGTGTTGTGCGTACTTCAGCAGTGCAATGTGAGTAGAGTAGAGTGAAGCAGAGTAGATGCGAAGAAGTGACAGTGTGTTCACTCGCCTAACGCTGCTGGAAAACAAAGACCACTTTTAATCACATGTGAGGAAGACAACTACCCATAGCCTCCCTAACGCTGCTTATTTATTGCGAGAAGGATGTGAGGAAGAAGTGAGCAGTTATTGATACTAAATGTCAGTCATCTGCCACTGGTGTATGTGGGTGGCACTCGTACTCGCACTCGTCCACATTGGCAGTTGGCGTGGTTGTGATGAGAATGGGACATCATCACCATCATCATCACATCACCCATCCTCATGTTCATATGTTTGCATGTCAGTAGCTACACACCCTTGTCACTGCGCTCAAGGACAACGAGTCTTCGCCATCATTCTGCGACATCTCCCTTCGGGTGACTTTACTTCGGAAATCACCCTGCTCTGAGGAGGCTTTAGCAGTTTCGATGCCAAATGGGACAGGGTGCGTGGGGAAGACGAACTTCAGTCACACGCTTCAGCTTCCTTCTACCGACACTTTATGTAATGGGAGCTCAAGATTCGAAAAAAGGTGGAAGGAGAGTTAAATGGCGACAGACATCAGGTAGACAAGAATTAATAGACCGAGATTTACAACATACAGGTGAGAATGAGGATGGAAAAGCAAAGTGACCTATTAGGTTTTTATTAGAGAGCATTAGACGTCCTCTACTTTACAGAGGAAAGGACTGAACTGGATTGGACGAGATTAGACTGCGTTCTCAAGTGATATGACACGTTTTAGTGTGCGGATAGGCATCTAGGAGATGTAGATGCTCGCAACCTAACTCGCAGTAATTTTAGACGGTAATGCGCAATTATTATTTTTGTTATGAATCGACTGCAATTTACTGCGAGATGTGGCTACAAAGGTGCAGTCTAGGTGAGAGCTGGTCGCGTATTCATCCTCCTGCTCTATTGTCAATTGAGGCCCCCTCCGTTTACCACCTCGCCACAGCTCTGAAGTTAGTGAAACAGAATCGGAGTCCGCAAAGTAAGTTCTCCAAAGGGATGCAATTATGGCTTTGCTACGTGTGAAGGGGACAAGTGCAGAATGTGTAGGTGTGACAAAACCAAACTGGCGTCCGAAGGGGTGGATCGTCTCACCATAAAGCTATGTAACCCTTTGTGCGGCTAGTTTTGGGCATCCTTCGAAGCTATAAGAGGGCAGCCTTCCTTCTCTCCTTTTACTGATTTTGTAGTCCCAGTTGTTTCCAACGAAGCAGTCCCTCTTGCACATGTTGGAATGGAGGGATCTGGAGTAGGGCATTAGTAATGTTCGTTTGTTTTTAGGTAAGGCAAATAAGCAATTCACAGCGATGGATGGAGCATGCACTGCATTACGCATGGATCACAGTCACACGGGGCGGAAGTTTAGCTTGCCTTAGAAGTGTGGACGGTGGGTAGTGAGTAGACAGTATGGAGATAATCATCAACGATTTTTTTGTTTGCTCAACATTTCATCATAGAGGCTGTTCTTCCTCAGCGTGTTTGCACGCAATTTCTTCTCAGTAACGTCTCTTTATAGCCGGAAAGATTTAACAAACAAAATGGCGACCTTTAAATCACATTGTTTAACATTTGATATTAGTAACAGCACATGGGACTAATTTGCCCAAATTTACGGTTTCCAAGTTTAGCTTTGTAGGCAGGAATGAATCGTCTTACCAATGATATTACATATTCCTGGCCGTTCTTGACGCTTCAATCTCGAATGACACATTTAATAGTGAAAAGCCCTTTTCATCGCCAAGATTATAGAGTTTACATAAGAATCGAGAATTCTTGACTCTCATTGTGTAGTACATCCTGTTATCGCACCTTCACAAGGTGATACGAGCTGTTACCATAATAGGCTTGATTTTCAATTCTGTTTGCCAAAAGAAGACTAGTTGGATTCACGCTGTCAGCTTCACTCCACCGACACGCTATGAAGTGGAGCTCTAAAATAAAAAGTAGTAAAAAACACTTTGAAGGCTGTCTTGATGACAGAGTGATGCATGGCCTGTTCCACCTTTCATGCTTAAACCTCCCAGATCATATTTACAATGGTTAGGTGGTCGAAAAGCTTATGCGGTTTCTCCATGAGTTACAATTTGGGGAATTTAAACCAAAAGACAGAGCAGATTGGAGTTGGACAATCCAAAAAGTGTTTTTTTGTCAGTTTTGATCTGGTACGGTAAAATCAGTACTAAATTTAAGTTGAGGAAAAAAAGTGGCTTTCTAAGAGTCAGAAGAAGAGGTATACCTTCTGCCATCTAAGCAAATCCAATTTGATCATTTGATTTTAGCGCACATTAATGAAGTTCAACTAAATGCCTTGGTTTTTTATTTAATGACTGCAAAGACAGTCGTTAGTTGATTCGCTTTGGTAAAGCCATTTGCCTTACCTCGGAAGCAAGCATGGAAGTGAGATCTGTCAGGTAGTTGTATTCATTCATATCCTCTTTACAATTTCCACTAGGATCAATTTGTTCCTTCTCAGCCGTCTGCATCAGTCACTTCTGGTTGCTTGGAACATGACAGAGACATTATCTACAAAAACCCTTCTTTGGAAGAAGCTTTGGACTTGTTCAGACAGTCGGCCTCTGTTAATGGCCGCAGTGGATCTAGCAGTATTTTGATGATTGCCGAGGTTGGCAACCCAGCTCTCATACCCCTTACATGGTGCACCTTCACGGATTAACCTACCCTGAGACAGAGGTTCGCCCTCTACGGGCTATTTTAATCAAAGTCATAAGTGCTGTTCTCTTAAAGCAA